TGAGACGGAGGAAAGAGTGAGAGAGAGAGAAGAAAGAGTCGGGAACAAGAAGAGAGAATGACGACGAGATGGAGAGGAGGAGAGAAGAGAGAGAAGGAGAGAGAGAGAGATGACGAGAGGGAGCCAGAGAGAAAGACGGAGAGAAGAGAGAGAGAGACGAGAGAGAGGAAAGGACGAGAGAGAGAGCGAAGAAGAGAGAGAGAGAGAGAGAGAGGAGAGAGAGAGAGAGAGACGAGAGAGAGATAAATAAACGGGAGAGTTACAATGCTGAGTCAGCACATTCACCGAATGGTGCTAGAAAACGTGCCTGTTACGAGGCCCACTTCATTATGTTTGTTTGTCAGTTGTCATGTGAGTTTAGTTGTCATATATGTAACGTACGTCGTGGGCCATGCGTACGCAACGTGTCTGCCTATATATATATTATAGTCAATTCAGGAGTTTTAAGACCATTTGTCATTATTCACCCCTGATACGATAGACAATGCGTCTGGTCATGAGAAATACGCAACTTCACAAAAAAGAGCTGCTGTTGAGTTTTCCCATGAAATAAAGAACCCATGTACGGATAGAACGAGGAACATATGCACCATCGGAACACGCACATGCTTTATAAGGTCAACTACCTGTTTGATTAATTTCCAGCCATCCTCTGGAAAGCTTTGATTCCATCTTTCAGCACTTCTTCTCCACGGAATGCGCCCGTCCGGTCTGGGCGCCTTTAAATAGCCAAACTGCAGCAGGTACCTATGTACAAAAGAACGAACATGGGAGTCATTTATCATTTATACATTTCTGCATAGATTTGTGAGCTGTGTGCTGTTTGTATCATTACTGCATTATACTTTGTTATTAATGACGCACCGATCTTTAGACGGGCCTGCTATTAAGACCACGACTGCGACCTGAGCGTGAATATGGTGATTGAAACGAGCGCTAATTATATTGATAGCTCATAGAGTAACACACTTATAAACAATAACAGTATTGATGTCAGTGTTGCAATTACAATACTTCATACGGTCTAATGTATTATAGCCAATGGCATGATCACTAAGCATTAATACATTACGAGAATGATCGAGGAGAAGAGAAGAGAGAGGAGAGGAGACGAGAGAGAGACGAGAGCGAAGAGAGAGAAGAGAGAGCGCTGCGCCGCAGGAGAGAGAGAGAGAGAGATGAGAGAACGATCAGAAAAGAGAACCAAGGGAGAAAGAGCGAGAGAGGCTGAAAAAAGAGGAGAACGAGAGAGAGAGACGAGAGCGCGCCGGCGAGAGAGAGCGAGAGAGAGAAATTAGAGCAGAGAGAGATGAGAGAAGAGAGAGAGCAGAGAGAGAGAGGAGAAATAACGAGAGCGCGCGAGAGAGAGATGAGAGAAGAAGATAGAGGAGACGAGACGAGAGAAGAGAGAGAGCAGAGATGAGAGAGAGAGGAAGAGAGCGCGAGAGCGAGCGAGAGAGTGAGTGAGAGTGTGAGTGAAAGAGAAAGAGGGAGAGAGAGAGAGCGCGAGAGCGAGCGAGAGAGTGAGTGAGAGTGTGAGTGAAAGAGAAAGAGGGAGAGAGAGAGAGAGAGAGAGCGCGAGAGCGAGCGAGAGAGTGAGTGAGAGTGTGAGTGAAAGAGAAAGAGGGAGAGAGAGAGAGAGAGAGAGCGCGAGAGCGAGCGAGAGAGTGAGTGAGAGTGTGAGTGAAAGAGAAAGAGGGAGAGAGAGAGAGAGAGAGAGCGCGAGAGCGAGCGAGAGAGTGAGTGAGAGTGTGAGTTAAAGAGAAAGAGGGAGAGAAAGAGGGAGGGAGAGGAGAGAGAGGGAGAAAGAGACGCACACGCGGATAAATGCAGTCGTTTGGCTCCACAATAATATATATCTAGTACTGCTATGTGCACTTATACGTTGTCGGTCCTAAGCGTAAAATGGCTTAGTATCGCACAACCGGTTTTTATCATTTTTATACAGGTGAAGTAAAACCACGGACTGCATTATATGTGCTACAAGATGTGATGACATTTTGTTTCGCATGCACAAATAATGATCTTGATCTTGATGTTGATTCCATGATCAGGTGCTGATATAGAAACCTGAGCAAGATGGCAACTAGCGCTAGTACTATAGCCATTGTTGCCTCAGGGGCTATAGTACTAGAGCTAGATGGCAACAGACGTAGGAACGCAAGAACGTAAAGCATCCTTATGGGACGGTGTTTGGCCATGACGCATGATCGTCTGTCTCAGGGATGAACATTACAGAAAATGAATGAGAGTAGCCTTATGATATATTTTGCTATTGATATTATCAGGAGTGAATAATAATAGATTATTATTATTAGATCTATTATTATTCACTCCTGATATTATGCATGCAGTGCGAACGCAGGCCTGAAAGACAGACCGGCGGAGAGACGCAAATCCAACACGGAGGCGTCACCTGCGAGCGTTTTGCATCTATATAGTTGAATTATCGGCAGCTAGAGTCAGTAATGCATGTTAAATGCGAAATATCTTATACCAAAAACAACTATTACATGTCCCATGTACTGGAGCTGTGCGTAGATGGCGTAGTAGCGCACTAGGTAATGTCGCAGCGGCCATAGTACATACTTAAGGCACTATCCGTACACCTGCTCCTGAATCAAGATGAACACAGCAAAAACAAACGATATGCATAGTTCACGCAAGAGAAGTAACAATAATAGTATACAACAGTAGCGTGTGAAAGCTGAACGCATTCACAGAAAGCATGTCTAATTAAAACGTGTCACTAATCATGCTGCTCCCCTCACCGTCTAGGTATACTGCGCGCGTGCGTATTCGTTTCCGCAGCGATATACGTGCTCATGCAACCGTGTCCTTTACAAAGAGCAAAGGTAAGAGTAAATGTTGGATAGTGCACATGCAATGTTATATATATATATATATATATATAATTATATAATATATATATCATCTCTTTTATTCCCACTCCATTACTTCTCTCCCACGCAACCTACTTTGAACTTGGAATACAATTTAGCATAATTTGAACAGTAAATTAGGTTTGGGCTATATATTTTCGCGGATGTTTGATTGGACGCAATTCAACTAATGTAATGCAGTGTAGGAATGTGCTTTGCTCAAAGAATATATATATAAATATTATATATATATCAGAGCTTGCCTCTCGCGTTTTCACAAACTTACAGATATTCTCTCAACGACTATAAATTGGCGTAATCATTTCCTGGGAATATTTTGAGCATATATATATAATACGGCAAATATGTCGAGCCGTGAAATGCCACCTGCGTGACCTCTACAGTATACACGGCATGCATGGGTTTACGATTCACCGCTGTAGCGGCGTAACCTGCTCCGCAGTCTTCAACACTTGGTTTAGATAGCCCGAAATCGCGCGAAGTACTTCTGAAAAAGCATTGATTAACATATATTTACCGACGCTTTACAAACGCGTATGTCGAATGTGTGTGCTGTGTGGTGTGTGTGTGTGTGGTGTGTGTGTGTGTGGTGTGTGTGTGTGTGTAGTTTGTGTTGTGTTGTGTTGTGTGTGGTGTGTGTGTGTGTGTGTGTGTTGTGTATGCGTTGTGTGTGAGTTGTGTGGTGTGTGTGTGCGCCGGTGTGGTAATGTGTGTCTGTGTGTGTGTGTGTGTGTGTGTGTGTGTTGTGTGGTGTGTGTTGTGTGTTGGGGGGGGAGTACTAGTCATTGCATTTGCATCCATTGGCGTCTTCCCTACCTTGCTATGGCACAGTGGCGACCAATGTACTGATTCCTTGTCCGAGATGTAAATATGTAATGTAAATATTCCGCAATAGATTGCGATCAGTCTGCCGGTGACCGCCAAATATAACAACTTAATGTAAACAATCAATGGTGTAACGATCACGAACTGAGAACTGTTTCACGGTACCATTTCGTTTATACAAACTAGCGTCCATGTAACTGTTTCCACAAACAAACAAACCAGGCGTTTACGTGGTTACATTCATTTAGTTATACACGCTTTTACAGTTTAAATCTATTTAAATGTCAATGCTAGTCTTCCGGCGGTATGGTCTCGCGTGTATAAGACGATTTCACGAGACACAACCTCTCGGTACATATTGAAGTAGTAAATGACGTAAATAATAATGTTATGACACGTATAACATTCAAACAAATAGTATTTCTTTGGCACATACGGCATTGCGAAGAAGGATTCCTTTATATTTATGGCTCTAAAGGGATTTTCGCGGAAAACAACTTCGGCGTTAAATCTGAACACCGGGATAGACATTTTTCAACCGTAGGCCTACACTCGCGGAAGTACTGTACAAGTGCTAAGTACTGACGTAATGTACGTACAACGTTTTACTATTAAATGTAAATCGAGAAAAACCTGTGCGTAATTAGATGATTAAAATGGGAGATTGGAGATATGCATTTTAAATTGGTAGCGTTTTGTCAGGGATCAGATGCACATTCGTTAATATATTACGCTACTTGTTGTTCAAAATAACTATGAACCGGGTCCCCATCGAGCTCGTACAACTAAACGTTATACCAATGGCTCTCATTATCATTCTGGATTCGAAGGCTTCACACCGCCTATATAAACGCAGCGCAAACTTGAGTGTCCCTTGCCATGGCAAACACCACGTTAACTACAATTAACACAGGCCGCACAAAGGCCGCGTGAGACGTTGTTTGGCTTTGTTTACGCTGTATTCTACCTCTCGCCACACCATCGATCTGGCCCGCGAGCCCGCATCATGGGAAAGGTACATATATCGATAACATTTATTCAATACCTTAGTTTGCAGCACCATGTTGCCGAGTGACACATGACATGCGGAAGAACACGTGTGCGACATTCGGCATATATAGCACGATGGGCGTTATACGTGACCCATATATCGTGCAATACGCTCCCTCAGGTAAGGGAATGTTTGTTATGCACGCAAACCGTGCTCTAGTACGTCGATTTATACAATCCATGGCAATACTACTCGCGTAGCAAGGTATTAACGCCCAATAGCTCAGCTTAGAGTAGCGCGATCGAGAGTAGTATACACACAAGCTGCTATAGTTTAGATGTACTAGTATTGTACACCCAAATAGGATAGAGTAGCCAAGGCATTAACTGCACACAATACTGCGCATATACATACTATTAGTCATGTAGATACTTATACTACGCTAGTTAGATGTAGCGGATATTGTACACATGCAATATAGTCCTAGGGAAGTAAGACACTATAACGACTCCATCGACACACATTCGATAGTCACAGAGATAGCACGGAATATATGCCCTAGCAGGAGGTACCATTTCTGCCGTTTGAGTTTTACAGAAACCAACTCTGTGTAATAATATCATGGACTACATGTGTCAATTCTCATCTGGAAGTAAAAATATTTGTGGAAGCTCATGAACGTTTGTCTCCCCCCACACTGACGCCGGTCATCTAAACTCACTGCATGTCTTCTTTATACGACCGTGCAAACTGACGACCCAGAAGCTGGAGAGAAGTTTACGTCCATGCATTGAAATTCATTAACGTAGGTATTTAAGGAGGCACGCTGCGTCACCAAATACTGTAGCCTACTACTCCACATTAAATCTGCAATTCCGTTGACTGCACACGTGCACACACCGCGCATCACTGTCAACACACGCGCACGCAACGACACCACGCATGCATGCATGCTGGCGCACACGCACGCATGCAGGCACGCTGGAATACACGCACGCATGCACGCAGGCACACACGCATGCATGAACCCACACACCGCAACGCAGCGTGCGCGCACACACACACACATAACACACACCACGCAACACACGCTCGCACGCACTCACACACACACACACACACATCACACAGCACACACACCAGCACACAGTCCACTAAGCACGCACTGCAGACGCTCGCACGCACGCACGCACTCACGCACGCTCCCCCTCCACACACACAGTGACATAATGTAAATTCTCTATATACAGCGCTGTTATACAATTTTCAATCATGCGAGATACGCCACCAAATGTCAGTGCCCGCGATGTATACCGCCTGACTCATCTATTCGCGGACATCACCAACAAGGACTGAATGTGAACTTACGGTGAGGTGGTGTAAAACCGCGCCCGTAAAAAATACTATCGATCGCTGATAGCCCTGTGATGGGATGCAACCGTGACTTCGCAATGCTCGCCGTCCTCGCGAGGATTACAAGGCGGGGTGGGGTGGGGGGCGGGGGAACACGCGTATACGCTGTCCAACGAACCGCTATCTGACTGCATCTCAGACAGTGAGCCGAGTCTTGTAAAGATCACAATATCGGACAGATACTATAGACTGTCCTACTCTGATTTCCCGCAGCGATAATTCTTCGCGAGTTAATTATGAACTAAATAGTAGTGATAAAATAATAATAAAATAACATAAAAAATAAATAATTAAATATAACCATCTCGGTAATATATTAAAGCTCTTTGGAGTTGCATTCTTCTCGCTCTCTCTTCTCTCTCTCTCTCTCTCTCTCTCTCTCTCTCCCTCTCTCTCTCTCTCTCTGCTCTCCTCTCTCTATGGTCTCTCTCTCTCTCCTCATCTCCTGCTCGTCTCTCTCTCTCAATCCACTGCTCTCTCTCTCTCATCTACTCTCTCGCGCTCTCTCTTTCCTCTCACTCTTCACTTCCGCTCGCCTCCGGCATCCTTACTGTACACTCTCCGCTTTCTGCGCAGCCTCGCCACGTCGCTCGCTGCTCGTTCAATTCTATACGCTCTTTCGCTCTCTTTGTTTGCTCTTTTTACTCACGCATCAACGGATTCACGCACGAGCACAAAGCACCACTCCCCCGCTACGCACCAAGTACGATTTTTCGTTCAGCCTAGCATTTCCTTTTCTAATTTCGTGTTACTCATCCAGGTAAGGCACTCCTAGTAGTCTAAAGTGGCCTTGTAATTTACATATGCAAACGTTATTCTATTTAAGCAAAAATAAAACATCAATTGTTGGGCACGCGTCCGTGAAGCCCGCACGCGTGAATCACACGGCGTCTGTGTTTCGGAGCATTGTACACGCAGGATCCGGGAAATTCGTGACACATCAGCCCGGAGCACGGTCGTATTCGTGGCGGCACCATTATTTCCGTTCAGTGTGTCATCTAAACTTTGCGGACAGGTGTACAGCATAGCATAATACTACGGCGTTAGTCACTCGTGCATTCCGTCAATACGTTTTAGAAAGAACTTGCTATTAGTCAGAGCATCATGACGTCATTACTATCACGTCCCTATTCAACCGTGATTGTCACCTACCTAATGACCGTGGAACTAACGCGTGATTACGCGACATCTGCGTAAGTTTGCCAAGCTACTTCATCTACGGAATCATCCCTCGCGAATTATGTTAGTAAAAAAAACTTTCGGCGTACGAATAGTACTGATGCTTGCCGTTTTCCAAGAACCTACACGAAATAGTGCGTGTACGTGTGCGTGCGTGCGTGCGTGTGTGTGTGTGTGTGTGTGTGTGCGCGCGCGATGACCTCATTCGTGCTTGCTAGGCATGCTAAGATCTTAGTGCGTAGATTGCAGATAAGATAAATGCTTCCTTATATACGTAGATGTCTCATCCCTCCCTAGAGATTGTCAATGAATCATTGCTGCAATGAGTAGGCTGTGACTAATACGCTAAAAACATTGGAAGTCCGATTTGTCGATTGGTAAGTTACGTTATGGTAGGACATATATATACATATAGTATTTAAGAAAGGAGGAAAGGGCGAAGAATGGGAGAGAAAGAGAGAGGAAGAGCGAGGGAAAGAGAAAATAGAGATGAGGAGAAAGAGAGAGAGAGAGAGAGAGGCGAGGGCGCGAGAACGAGAGTAAGGGCGAGCAAGTGCGAAAATGATAGAGAGAGAGAGAAGGAGAAAGACAGGCAGACAGATGGACAGACAGACAGACAGACAGACAGACAGACAGAGAAAGTAGAGTAGAGAGAGAGAGAGAGAGAGGAGAGAGAGAGAGAGAAAGCGGGAGGCCGAGAGAGAGAGGGAGACGAGAGAGAGAGAGAGCGAAAGAGGAGATAAGAACAGACCAGAGATAGATTAGAGAAAAAAAGGACGGAGAGCGAAAGAAATGAGAAAGACAGACAGACCAGACAGACGCGAGAGCGAGAGAGAGAGAGAGACAGAGAGAGAGAGAGTAGAGAGAGAGAAGACGAGAGAGAAAGAGAGAGGCGAAAGAAGGAGAAAGACAGACATGAGAAGAGAGAAGAGAGAGAGAGAGAGAGAAAAATAAAAGAGAAAGAGCGAAAGAAAGAAAAGACAGACACGTTTTACAGACAGAGAGACTGAGAGAGAGAGAGAGAGACAGAGAAGACCTGGGACGGAGAGAGAGAGAGAGAGAGAGAGAGAAAGAGAGAAGGAGAGCAGAAGAGAGAGAGAGAGAAGAGAGAGAGAGAGAGAGAAAGAGAGACGAGAGAAGGAGAGAGAGAGAGAGAAAGAGATAGAGCATGAGAGAGAAGAGAGAGAGAAGAGAAGAGGAAGAGAGAGAGAAGAGAGGAGAGAGAGAGAGAGAGAGAGAGAGAAGAGAGAGAGAGAGAGGAGAGAAGAGAGAGAAGGTAGAGAGAGAGAGAGAAGAGAGCGGAGAAGAAGGGGGGATGGATGGCAAGAGAGGTAGACAGATATATAACAATGAAGGCCGAACCTGACAGCGTGATAATTATTGTAAACGGAAATAAAACGGGCCTATACATTAAGAGATCATTGATTTCCTTGAGAGCTACAGCATCTACACAAGCCAGCTGTGATGACTGCATGCAACAGTAATCTTTATCGAATCCTTCAGCTTCGTTTCTCGAATTCAGTGTATCACTGTACTACAGCTACTGCCACGGCAACTGCTACGACTAATAATCAATAATAATAATAATAATAACAATAATAATAACGGCAGATTCTGGATTGAATCCTTATGTCCCAGGTTGGAACACGGCCAACCCAGAAACCACCGGCTAATGCCGGGATCCACTTTGGAAATAATAATAATAACATAATAATAATAATTATTATTATTATTATGATAATAATATTATTGGCAGTAATAAAATAACAATAATTTATATACAGCATACATACCGTCGCATCATACATGGTTCCAACGCGCGGTGAAGATGGTGCAGACAGTTCACCTATGTGACTTAACGTCGACTCATGTCCATCGACATCGGTTCCCTCCACAGTGCGGTCAACCGGGGCGGCACACACCAAGCTGACCACACTGGACACGAACACAACAACAGCAGCAACACGCATCATGTCTATCGTCTGCACCCGATGTGCGAAATAGGAGAGAAAACTGGAGTAAAATACGCGTAGATGCTTGGGTCACAGACGTTATAGCAACAACTGCCGTACTGCCTCTATCGGTCGTCCTTAGACGTCGGGCACGCGAGAGATGACTATCTATAAACCAACTGCATTCCATCAACGCACTCGCGACTTAGAACCTGTTTCTTAATTTCAACGCATGAACGACGTCGTTGCAACCGTAAAGGAACGTGCGCAGCCAGTGCGGCAGCGATTTCTGCTAGGTGAACTAGGCATCTGTGCGCACAACCATATACGGATATCGGAAGGGCGGGACTTCAGCTCTCGAGCCCCCTACGTCATCAGTGTTGTGTCGAAGCGAACGCAGCATCCGGTTAGAGTAGTACAGTCCAGTAACCTGTAGATCTATGAGTAAACGCAGGCGCAAAGAACGGCGAGAGAGGTGTCTATTACGTGTGTGTAATAATTTGGACGCACTGCGCGCCGCTGCTGCCATCTCTCTATCGACCTCATCGCGACTATATAGTTTCAGCTGAATCAGCAAACAGCGAACGCTGTCGCTTGTTGTTAAACGAGCAAATTGTCCGAGATATTTGCAAATAGGTTGCAAAGCAAACACGAACGGTGCATACCATTTGCTAGCAGATCCCGAGTATCCTTTTAACTGAAGGTCGTACATATTTTGGAAGGTTTAACAAAAAACGGCATTGGTTATGTCAGCATGTTATGTACATACAGGCAGCAGGCGCTTTTATTCGCGCGTTTACACTAACATAGTTGCATTATTACATTAATGCATTTTCTCGGCAAACGCGGCAAACAAACCAGGTTTAGTCTTACTCCATTTACCCACGGTTATACTAACAGTGCGCTCCCGTCATAACATATATATATATACATATATATTATGATATTATATATCATCATATATATTAACTGTTAGTATTTGTAACGCATGACACCAAATCTTCACTAACGGTAACACTTCTCAAATAAAAATTCACATTCTGTAACTCGACCTCGACCATCGCAGACCCTACCGATTTACAGAAGTAGCATACTTGAGTACTCATTATTTGAGAATGAAAGCAAGATCGATGCATCTAATACCCCCGTCACACCGGACGGCGACCATCCGCGACCATACGGCGACCTGAAAATGTACAAGGTCGCCGGCAAACGCGAACACAACGCGAGAAAAAGTCCCAACAAATTACAAACTTGAAAAAAACCGCGCTCTTACTGCACATTGTGCAATAATACGTCTTTTGCACGTCGCGCCCGCCACGACCTCTCCGCGCTTTTGGCGTTTCTATTGAGATTCTATGACGCTTGGCAACGGCGATCACCTGTGCGTTTTTTCGCGGCGCTCTCACCACGCTCATTGGGGTTCTTACACGCGTCTTCTACGTGTATCGCGCTGCCGACGGCGACGCTTACGGGTTTTCTACCACGTTCTCACGGCCGACTATATAATCAAGCTGGTCAGATTTTCGGAAGATTTCAACTGTTTATAGTTTGTGCGTTTTTGCTGAGTTAGTAAACCACGATTGCCGAAGGAATACAAGGCTACCAGAGGCCGACGGCCGTTGGCTTATCAGTGCGCGCACCCTGTGGGGCGAGACAGATCGCATGGAATACTAGCATCTGCATGACTCTGCTCGATGATGACAGATACCTATGAATTTCGCCGTTGAAAATGTTTACCATTCTTCGCAGCGTCTTTGCCGCGTGTGAGACCGGCGCTGGGTACTGTCGAGTGTACTACTTTTTATTGGAGATGTCTACGACGCTTGTTCACGACTTCGCACGACCCCACCGCGTTTCTCACCGTCGTTCCAGGTAGATCGCGAACCTTGGGCGTTTTGTTTTGGAAACATGCTCAAAACAAAACGCGGCGTCGACTCGGCGCATTCATTGGCGACATTCGCGCGACCACAACCACGATGTTTTCTTGGCGTTTTTTTACCAATTCCTTTTCTCCACGCTTAATCCTATACTCACAGAGACGTTATTAGACAGGCGTCTCCCTTTTGGCTCTCCCGACCGTTGGGCTACATCCTCAGGCCTAACAACCACCTCTTCATTAACTTTGCTTTTTTTCCGTGCTGTACCTGAGAAACTGTGTTTTTTAGTGAGGAGCCAATGTCGTAGCTATATACGTCGCCTCTCTTCCCATTCTCCCAATATAACGTTGTTTCTTCTTGGTTGTTGAATGATGTTCCCTGCATGACTGCCCGCACTGCCGGTGTCTGACGTGGTATGTTTGCAGCGGTGGTGGGTTCCTAGAGCCAGTAGTAACAAAGACAAAGACGATCGATCAAAGAAGAAAAAAAAAACACACTTCAATAACATGTGTTGGTTACGGTTCAGGTATGCCAAGATGATAACCAATGGTGCTTGCGGACACCAACGCCTATTAAAAGTGCCTACGTTCGATTTTATATGATCTTTTATTTTATTTAGTAATATGGAATTATTCTTTATTCATCTTGATATACTGATTTGTCACACTTCTAATGTCATAAATCTCAAACGGGTTTTTACATGCACGAAAATATGATAAAATCTGTAAGTGATAATTTAATGCTTGTTGTTCTTCCGGTTTTGTTTCACTTGTTTTTATAGCTTCAACGATTTTTTATTTCAATCGTACTATTATTCGTATGGTCTAGAAATCATGAGTGTCTGGCCAGCCTGTGTACATGCTCTATTTTCTCCACATATTCTTTATTGTTTTGTTCAACGAGATATCAAACTGCGACGGCAATATGTTTCAAGGCAAACCCTCACCCGCGATCGTGTTTCGTTCGGGATCCGGCATGCTGGCGCTACCGATCAAGGGTCTTGAACACTGTCGCCCATGCTATAGGCGATAAGTCACCTCGGGGGATCCCCCGCCCCCCACGTTTTCGCCCTACTTAGTATCCAAGCCCAGTGGTAGATGTACTATTACCAGGCATAGTCCAATTGACAATACTGCCTCGCGATCAACTACCCATGAACTGTAATGCTTGCAGACCATGAGGTGTTTTTATCTTACAGCAGCCTTGGTTAGCTCCTCCGAAATACGTCATTTAGTGATGCCTGTTCACAGAAAGTGAGACAGTGATAGACAACTTATACTATAGTCTCACTCTGTTGGGATTTTTTGA